TTTTACAAGACGGGAGAGTCCATCATACATAAAAAGAGGGAGTTACTCTTCAACCATCTTGTATATATCAAAACTAGGCTCCAGGAAAAAAAAATCTAGAAGATTTAAAATTTTTCAGACATAGCAGAAGAAATAAATAAATATCACAAGGTATAAGAAGAGAAACTTCAAGCAATTGCTGCTGGTTTGAATAAATTTAAATACCTTTGAGTTTGTATTTATTTAGTACCAGTGACTAAAAGTGTTGGTTGAGTAATCCAAAAAGTGACTTGATCCAAAGAGTTGTGAGTTCAATACCTGGCCACAGCAGAGGGAACAAAAACTTGGAGAGTTGAGTTACTAAAGGGAATTAATTTAAACTGAGATATCAAAAAAGACATGACACATGGAATTAGAACATCTCCCTCCATTGACTAAATTAAATGGTGTGGTTTGAAATTCCAACATGTATCACCTGAAGAAGATTGGAGTGTACAACAACTGAAACATTGTGAATATGGCAATAAAGATTAATAGTGTAAATATCTTTGAATTTGTATCTACTGAAGAAAGATAAATATGGGACCTTTGCAACAGGTTGGTATTTGTCAACTCAAAAATACAAGCTAATTTCTAGATATAAATGAAACATCTCACTTTATCCAGAGATAAGTAATGTATATAGAAATGGCAGTTTTTCTAAAGTCAGTATGTTTGTATTTCCTTTTTTCCTGCAAACTGTGAATAATGACATTTAGTAAAAAACACAAGATTTCTTCATATCAGATACATTGTCCATTAGTACTAAAATAAAATAACTTACCATGAAAAGATATATCTGCAGAAAATCAACCTACATACATACATATATACACGCACACACAAAAACCTTGTAAAACCTTGCAATTTAAAATTTTACCACAATTATCAGAAATTTATTTACTATAGTGGGCACATTGCTGAGTAGTTAGAACATTGTCATTCTGACTATGAGACCTAAGTTCAAATCTCACAATGGTTGATTTATCAAGAAGGTGACTTCTTCATAATATCAGACTGGGGAGACACCACTGGGAAATACATGAAAACCAACCACAACCATTGAAAGTGAAATTTGGTAGGCAAAAATCTTTGGAAGCCATCAATGGTTGTGCAAGCACAAAATCACAAGTCATCAATACCAAGGGTTTGAGTATATTTGCCTTATTCAAATTAGTGATTGCAACAGATTATGCACTTCTTTTCTGAAGTATATATAAAGCTCAGCATGATTACAGTTTAAACCACAGGTTGGATTTGTGGGTGTTGAACAAACACAAATGTACTGTAGCAGATTGAATGTAAATTTTAATACATCCAAAATGAAAATACTATCTTTGAATCATTACAGAGAACCTTTTTTGCCTTCCATTTATATGGCTGGTGCTAACCTCTAGGAATGCAAATCACTGCCCCTTCTTCAATCTCATATTTTACATGAAGTGGAGTGATTATGTTAAATAAATAGCTCGCTCTATTGCCAGGAAAGTTGTCAGGCAATTTTTTTTTTTTTTTTTATCTGAATCCATGTTACACATTTATAAATCTACTATTTGTCTGTGCATTGAATATTGCTGCCATATCTGGTCTGATACTCTGACTATATAACTCAAGATCCTTGACAAAATCCAATGAAGGGTCTGTGATGTAATTTTCATGGCAGTTGTTCTAATAAGCTTTCTTCCTTGGTACCTCAACCTGCATGAATTGTATTTACTATTAGCATATTACTAAATTGGCTACTAGGTCTTATCATTGTACTATTGAAATAGCTAGATGTAAACACAAATTCTAATAGTTTTTTTTTCTTGCACTTCTCACATCTGGAACTATCTTCAGCTTTCTTGCCAATCACACTCTTCAAAAATTTAAATGTAATGTCAATTATGATCTTCCATCTTCCTGAAATCTGTTCTTTTATTTTCCTTTCTCTTCACTAGTCTTCTCTTTCACTTGCATAACCCCTTGTGACCTAGTGATATTATCACTTTGCTTAGGGTGAAATGATTATAAAAAAAGTCAAATCAAAAAATTTTGAAAATTTGTTACAAAAATGTACAAGAATATTCAATAAAACTCAAAAAATAATTTTTGTTGAGAGTTGGTACTTGCATAATTTAATAAAATTTGTAATTTTTCAGTGTGATTTTGAAATTCATCCAGTTGATGATGATCAAAGAGATCTTTTTTATTTAAGAAAGATGTGTTTGAAGAATCAAAAAATGCAAAATTTGATCTCATTTTTTCACCAGAAATATTTTAAGAGAATTTTATTTATTATTTTCGCAACTGCTAAATTACTTTTTGTATGGAAAATCAAAAAGGAAAATGTTCTGAATTACCTCCTCTAAAGAGATTAATATCTCAATATCGAGTTCTGTTATCCTTAGCATGCATTTTTTATGCACTTCCTTTAGTTTAATACATTTTAAAATGAGAATAATTAAAAAAAAAACATCATGGCAATTAAAAATTTTATGAAATCAAACAGGTAAGAAAATACTAAAAGCAAAAATTTTTATTTAACTATTTTTCAATTAATTTCTTTTTTATACTTCTAATGTAGCACTAAAAATAAAATTAATTCTACTAAGTTTCATAAAAGAATATAAAATTTAAATAAAAGTTAAATTCTTAAACTATTGGTTATATAAGGTTAAAAATTATTTATTATTTTTAAATAATTTATTATTTTTAAGCATAAACAATACCAACTTCTTGATTATTGCATTACTGCTGTCTTTAATTTTTTTTTAAGAGTCTGGGATGGTAGTATAAAACTTCTGTTTGTGACCTATGACATCATGGGGTACTGTGTGTAAAAACAATATTCTCATAATGTTTTAAGCAAAGAGTAAGCATTACTTTTACAAAATCTATAAATATAATCCTTAAATTTATTAATTTACTTTGGAACAAATTGTATTTTTAAGAGATTATATTTTTCAGCTAAAATGGTGGTTCGGTGAGTGACTACTGAAAGTGAGACTGTTTGGAAAATGTTTAAAAACTTTATTTACACACAGAAATTTATTTTTCTTTCCATACGGTTTAGTTTTAGGTTATTACCTTTCAAAAATAAATAAATAAATAAATTTAAAAAAAAATAATAATTGAAATAAATGCGTTTTTAAGTTAGTTTTTTTTTTTTTTTTTTAACTTTTGGAGGTCCTACATCAAAATTCAAAATCAATGTAACTTAACATTAATTAATTGATTTTTTTTGTGACAAAATGCTACAAAAATAAATAGAACGAAAAAAGAAAAATAAATTGGATAGAATGATTACACTTAGGAACAAATGCCAGAAAATAAAATCAATGACATTTAAATAAAAAGAGATGAAATGATGAACTTTTTAAACAATTTCTCTACCTCATAAGCTGCAATTTTTTTGGCATAATGCCCCCATTATGATAATGGCAAGTCTGGCAGTGGATGATTGCTAAAGAAATCATCTAAAACAGCCAAGTGGTTTCTTGTGGTTTGTTGTAGAGCCTTATTTGGCGAACAAGTTTTTTCTTGGCAGATGGGGATCAATAATACAGGTTGTATCTGTTGAACAGTTTTTGTTGAACACTAGCTATTTTTCGCTCTATCAGGTAGCCTTTTTTTTAGTTTTTTACTATGACATTGGTAATAAAAACAGAAAATGCATAACTGAGTTAAATGCAAATAAAAAACTAAAAATGATTATAGCAAAATTTTAAATGAATATATAAAATATAAAACTTAAAAAAGTTTTCGATTTATGCCAATCAATCAACGAGCCGGCCCGCCATTTTTGAGGAGCAGAGAAGTTTCATTGCACAATTACTCAAGCAAGATTCAGAAAAGTGAAAAAGTTTACATCGGCAAAGATAGTTGTTACAGATATGGTTAAGTTAGGAGGAGTATTTAGGGTGTGTGATTTTCTTTTTCTTTCTTATTTTTTAATTGTCACTTTTTTAACGCACGCAGTTTGAGAAATGCCAAGGCAGAATTATTGGTAGCGCCATGCCCATAGAAATCGAAAACTTTCATGTTTCAGTTTTTATAAATTATTTTTTTCTCATTCTCGTGATACTCAATAAAAAACAATCCCAGGAAAAAATAATCTTGTTTATCTGTAATTGCTTTCTGTCTATTTCCAGAGTTTTAGAACTGTAAGAGACTTGCTTAATCCGAAATATATTTCGACTTTTTTAATTTTAAAGACTTCAGCAATTTTAGAAGTGTTCAACTTAGGACCACAATTTTTTTTACTCAGTTACACAAGTCAAAACTTATTATTTTGAAATGTTTTAAACGCAAAATTAGTGAAAAATAACAATTTTTTTATTCTCAACAGTGATTCATTGCCCTTTTAAAATATCTGATACGTACAAACAAAATGTTTTCCCCAATTTCTTTTAAATAAAAAATTTAATGAAAAACTTCATGGCTAAGAAAGAAAAATTGATCTTTTACAAAAATCTAAACATTTAAAATAAATGAACATAAACAACTTTAAATTCGCATAATTAACGTGGCTTATTAAATCTTTAAAATTTGTTTTTCGAAAAAAAACAAAAAAAAGAAGATATATTCTTAAATTTTAATTTTTAATACTTAAGTTTTGCGATGTGATTTTAGATTTTTGGTTGGTTTTAAAATCCTTCTCCTGTGCATTTATTATTCTTTTTAAAGTTAAATTTTTAGTTTTATTTCTTCCAAAAGCTTAAAGAGAATAATCACAGAAACAGGAAAAGTATGCATTTTTTGTTTTTAATTTTCAAGCAAATAATATTCAAATCCAAACGTTATCTAAATTTCACCAATACTGCTACAATTCCGAATTAATATGCATAACGCACCCTTAGTAAGAAAGCAAATATGAAGGTGGCGTTCCAAGAGTTATTGCGCATGTGCAAAAGCTGGGTCAGTCTTTTTTTTCCAAACCGTGGTAAGCGTGAGACCGTTTGAGATTCGGTAGCGTAAAAAATCCACTCCAATCCGGAAAAATGCTGATCTATAAGGATGTTATAACAGGTAAATATTAATCCGTAACGCGTGAAACATTATTTACACAGCATATATTAATTACATTCGTTATATTTTGTCAATTTTCTTTTCTTTAGGTGACGAACTCTTTAGCGATTCATACAGTATAAAATTATTCGATGAATGTTATTATGAAATCGAGGGAAAGGTACGTATCCTGTTTTATTGCTTTATCCTATTTAAACATTTTCATTTTTTTTTATTTTTTGATACTTCGGGTTATTAATTTACCAAATGTTCAGGTTCTACATCTTGTTGCGTAGGCGTCATTCGGTGCTGTATTCGTCATACCACTTTTGTGACCTCATCTTTTCTAAACTTTCTCGCTTTAATTCAAGTCCTATATATTTTGGGCTTTGTGTCTGTCTATATACACTCTCTTACACACACATACATATGACTCCCATGGTTTGAATTTGCTAAAAGGTATGAGTAGTAATTTATTTAGGAGTGTTTCCTTCCTATATGTGACATCTTTGCAGAAGCATGCGCCATTAAGTTTCGTAAAACGAAAAAAAAAAAAAATCAAAAAAACAACCTTACTGTTGAAATACTGTGGATAGAATTAATTCTTCAATAATTGTAACACACTACAGAGATCGTTCTAAATAGATAATCTCAATCTCCTAGCCTCTGCCATACATTTATTTCTTTGTTGGTCTTAGGATTATTCTTGTGTGAGGAAGAATCGTACGAAAGGCCTACTTCAAGGCTAATATAATTATATCGTCTTCATCATGTTAGTGACACTCTAAAAAGGAGGGGGAGGAAAATTAGAAAGCTGTCCGAATACTGATAGATGCCAAGTCGTAGCATTCAATCGCGTAAATGTTAAATTTCGATTATTTTCATCAGCTATCGAAAACCGGGTTCATTTTATTAACGTTAGAAACTGGTGCTCATTTACTTAATTTAGTCTCACTGGTACTATTATGTAAAAAGCTATCCACTATATAACATTGAGGGATTGATTTCAGTCGCACTAATTATTAAAGCAATACCGACATTTAAGCTGTTGATGAAATGGACATTGTTACAAAAAATGTCTCGTATGTGCTCATTTAAACAAAAAAAAAAAAAATCAAATCAACTTTCTAGTAATGACTTTTTTCTTCACTAGCTTTATTATACTTCTATAAAAGCCTTAGAAAAATCTTTTTTTCCCGTAAAGAAGTTTAATTAATTATAACAGTATAACACTGGTTCTTCAGAGGCGAGGAAGACTCCCCCAATTTTGATTTTTTTTTTTTTTTTTTTTTTACTATTATTATGCTAATGAATGTGGAGTAGGTTAGTCTTCTTTTTGAAGTCTTCGGAGCAAACGGCTCATTAGTTTTCAATCATACTGTATACGTAATTTTTGCTTCTTCAATAACCAAAAGCATAAATGAATCTAACCTAGACACTTTGATTTCAAGCACTGTCTATTATTCTACCATGATGGAATAACGATGATCTAAATTTTAACTATCACTTTCAGCAAAGAATTTTGCGAAAATGATTTTTCGTTAGGAACCTGTTAATTTTACCTATCTAAATTTTTATTTTTTATTTATTTATTATACTATAGCGAATAAAGTCAAAGTGCAGTGTTAAATGTACGCGTGTCGGTGTCAATGTACCTGGACCCTGATTTTGGGTTCGGTGCTGCTTGAGGATTAAAATTCGAGACCTTGGAAGAATGCAGAGTTTTATTTAACATTTGATTTGAATGCTAAAATGTTTTAGTCTTACATTTTGTACACGCGTGTGATTTAGAAAACGTCATTGAAATGATATCAGTAAAATAAAAAGGTTAAGCTGTACAATAGGTACTAGTAATCAATGTTCCAATGTTCTTTTCCCTAGTTTAAATAAGCTTAGTGTTTGGGTACAGGTTGACAATGTAAATTAATTTTAAATTGTTTCCCCTGCCTGTCGTACGTGATTTCTTTAAAAAGATTAAATTAGGCTTTTTTTTTCTTTTTTTTCTTTTCTTCTCCACCACCACAAGATGCGATACGTAAGATTTAAAAAAAAATCTTAAAAATGAAGTCTTTCCGTGAAGTTCTTATTCTAGTTTTAATTACAAGCTAATAATTAATCAACTTTATTTTAATATTTCCGATAGAAAAAAATATTTTGTTGTATTTAAAGTTGAATTTACATTTAATTGGAATGAATTTCTTTTTGTCAGTAAAATAAAAATCGATGAAAGTTAAAAAGCCGTTCATCTTGACTTGACATGTCTTATAACATTTTTTTTTATTAAAAGATCTTTCAAAAATAGATTACTTTCCTGTAGGTGTATCCACTTCTTTTTTTTTTTTTTTCTTTTTTTTTCTTTTTTTCTTTTTTTACTCAAATAACCTGTCCAGGAGATTAGGAAAATCTTGCAAAAAAAAATTGCCCCCACTCACACTTAATTTCATGAACTTTTTTTCTTTCTTTGTAAAGTTACACCAGAATCTCAAAGATTTTCTGAATCGTAAAATAAATTCAATGAAACTAATTATTTAATAAAATTCCTTTTAAGATTTGTTTTAAACCTGTCAACAAGCACATAGCACCGTTTTTTGTTTTTTTTTTAAATCCATTTAATTTTTAAAAAGTAATTAATATTTTTCAAATCAGCTTAAACTTTAAATCAGCTAATATTTTTCAAATGAAGTTTCACATTTCATTTTGAGATTTTTTAACTTGTTTTAAATCTTGGGTGTCGACACTTATAACGAAGGTTGTGAGATTTTAATGAATCCGATTTGAAACCTTACTTATAGTTTAAATTATATTGCAGGGAAGCGTTAACATCCCCTGTTTTTAATGTTGACATATCCAATATCACTTGACGGATGTAATTTGAAGATTTAAATTTTAAATCTAAATCCTTGTAAAAACTCATTCTATTTTTTTTTTTTTTTTTTTTTTTTCTCGGAGGTACATATTTGATCTGGTGTGCGTAATATAAACGGGGGTATTTCTGGTCCCAGTGTCTGTTACTGTTGCACAACTCTACAAAAATTAATGTTTAAAAGTAGCTTTTTTTTTTTTTTTTTTTTCCTGACTATATTGACGTCTACTTGCTAGCTAGTATGTGATAGGCACCACTTTTTTTTTTCTTTTGCCAATGTACACCTGAATAACATAAATTTGTCCAACACTTCAATAAAAAAAAAAAAGCATAGCCTGACGCAAAGTCCCTTAACTTGAAACAATTTTTTAGTCTAAATGTTTGTTGCTAGCTTTGTAACAAAAAAGCTAATTCTAACATAAGGTAATTTTTTTTTTTTTTTTGACCTATGCATAAGATATAAGCTAATTAAATAATGAATTTTAGTAGTTCACTTAATTTCCCATAAGTGAAAGACTAAAATTTGACTATATTCCTTTAGTATATTAACTGAAAATTGGGCCAAACCAAGCAATATTTATTTTCCAGCCTTTAAATTCCTTTAAAAAAAAAAAAACCCTTTCAGTAAATTTTAATGAACTTTAGGAGTTCTAAATGATTGAAAAATACAAACTTGCATAATGAAAATTGAAATCTTTTATTCTATGCCACATCTCTCCAGATGAATTTTATACTGTCATTTTAAAAAAAAAAAAAATTTCTATTTTTAGCTCCACACTGAAAAGGATGGTGATTTCTCTGGCATGATTGGTGCTAATCCTTCAGCTGAAGGTGGTGATGAGGCATTAGACTCGTGCGAGAGGACAGACATTAATATAGTTATTGCTCATAAACTACAGAAAACTTATTTTCAGAAGAAATCCTTTTTGGCATATATAAAGGACTATATGAAAAGGTAAGTATTGAGCAAATTTATATTCAAAAATCCACTTAAAACATTTAGTGGTGGTGGATGCCACAAAATAATTCTCAAAACATGCAAAAAAAGAAATGCCTTCATTGCAATACAGAACTCAATTGAGTTTAAGTATTGCATTAATATTTAAGCTTACCTGCTGTCACTTAATTTAAAGACAATTTTGTGTGTAAAATTAGCCTGGGATTAAAATGAAAGCTTGAAAGTCTTTTTACTTAAAACCTAAAGTGTGTTTTTTTTTTTTTTTTTTTAGGGTCTTTGAACACATTGATGAGACGGACAGTGAAAAAATTGACTCTTTGAAAAAAAAAATACAGGCGAAAGTGAAGGAAATTGTTAACAATTTTAATGACTACGAGTTTTATTATGGTAAGTAAACTTAGGTTGATATATATATATATATATATATATATATATATATATATATATACACACACACACACACACACACACACACACACACACAAGACTTTTTAATGTAAAAAGTATAGTTTCATTTTCCTAACGGCAATCAGTACGATTTACTATTAAACAAAAGAACTAATTTAAATTGCCTGTCTCCTTTTTTCCTTTTTGCATACACGAGGTTTTCAGTATTCCTGACACTGCATGCTAGATAATTAAGTTGGCAAATAGCAGCTTATGAAATTTTGTTTACACCTTTCTTCTATCTCTCCCAAAGGTGAATCCATGAACCCAGATGGTTGTATTCTATTCTTGAACTACAGGGAAGATGGTATGACGCCCTTTTTCACAGTCTTTAAAGTCTCTGTTGTAAGCGAAAAATATGTAAGTATTTTTGCCTTTTCAACACTCCTTATCTGCTTCAGCTATTTCTTGTAGTGGTAATAATGTTAAAAGCTTCCTGTTTGGATAGCTGGCCAACTTACTCTTAATTGGCAGACAAGCTCAAATTTTTATTTCTACTTGAGCAGATGGTATTTAAATCGTAATTTGTTTTGATGTGTAAATTAATTGTATTGATTTGTATTTCTAATTCAGAGCACATATATAATTTTTTTTTTCTTTTCCCTCTCTTCTCTAGTAACAACGCAATTTGGTATCCTGAACATATCCTGAAATGCAGATTTGACATAAAATGCAAGGAAAACATTGCAGCAGCTTTGATATTTGGATTTGGACAAACAGTGGATTTTTTAGTTTGATATCCTAATTGACAAGCATTAATCACCAGCTGATTTTAGGTTTGTAATGGAAATACACAATGCTATTGCATTAAAAACAAAATCCAATCACTTGAGTTTTCTCATTCATTTCAAATTATAAAAATGTTGCATTTTTTTTCTCTTAAGCACTGATGTTTCATTTAAACAGTTTCAGATAAATTCAATCTAGTTGGGTCTTAAGATTGTTATAGGAAATCATTTATTACTTTTAAGACTTAATATTTAAAAAAAGAAAAAAGCCTTATTAAAATTACAGTAATGAAACTTTATTTGAAAGACTTTCTCATTGACTGTGGGTTAAGGAAATGCTCATAACTGTTTTAATCTCTTTAGTAAAGTTGAATTTTCCTTAGCCATACCAGAAGCAGGTTTTGAATTGTGTAATAAGTATCAAATAACATTATACAAAGATGCTGTAAAAATGACTAAATTTATCAACTTTTAACCTTGGCATAAGCATTAAAATACTTTGCTTAGGGTAATGTGTAAATATGATTGCAGTATTGTAAAAGAATGTAAAACCTTGGGCTGTTTCTAGGACAAACTATGAATGATTTTAAGAATGAGTTTCTCACTAATAATGGTACCAGTTGAATTTAAGGAATAATTGAATAAATTCACTTTATTCTCTATATGCAGAGACTTTATGAAAATTTCAATGATTATTCATAAGCAAGGATTACTGGACATTAATTTTATTGAATGGCAGGGATAATGGGAAGTTTTTTTTGTTTTGTTTTTTTTTCCCTACATACCCACCCTCAATTTGTGTAAAATAAAAAAAATTTCTCACAGCCAAAACCAGAGTAAAAAAAAAACAAAAAAACTTACCTCTTTATTATATATTACAAATAAAGAATCTCATTGAAACTCTAGTTTTATTTATGGTTTATTTATTTTATATACGCACACTTCATTGAATACGAGAGATAAAGTGTTTTTTATTATTTTTATTTATGTAGATGCTATTATATTAGTATTATCAAGTATGTTACAAATGTCTGGTAGGTCTCATGAATATTAAGCGAGATCTAATTGAGCTATGGCCAAAAAGGTGTAGTGCGAGTCTGTCGTATTCAATAAAATGTGCATGAAAGGATTGCTGCCTAAATATATATCTATATCTGTTACTTTTAAGCTTAGCAAGGAAATTATTTAAAAAAAAAAAAGTTCTACAAAAAGAAACCTGGTTTTGACAGTTATTTGGCACCAGGCTGCAAGTATTGGGTATTGTCAAATAGTAATTATAGGATAATCTTGTTAACTTTTGTACAGGGTACAACAGCAGTACCTACCATGTAATAGTAAGATAGTGGCAATGCTGTCTTGTGTAGTATGTGTTTCTGCCACACCCATCACTGAGAATATAGTACAGTGACATAGTTAAAAAAAAAAAAAAAAAGCAATATTCTGAAAATTTAACTCATGACTTTTTTGCCCATAAAAAGATTTTGTCTGCTTAATTCTCATGACCCATTTGCCCATAAAAAGATGTTTTCTTGTCTGCTTAATAAGGAATATGTTCCTTCCAGCTGTAGAATATGGAAACAACCAATCTGAGAAGGCAATAAAAAAAAAAAAAAAAAAAAATTGTCAAAGATTAATGACAATGCTTAACTCTACATAAGTGCTGTAAATCATTTATCACTGCATTGATACAACTTTCAAACACTCACTTCATTTAAAATCAATAAATTGAATTCTCAGTTGTCTTTATATATTTTGTCATGTTGTAATTTAATTTTGAAAAATCAAATTAAAAGAATTAAAATATTCAAACATGTAAGACAAGTTTCATTTTGGCAAATAAAATTGCTTAATTCATGCAAATATGAATAAATAACACTAAAAGCATTCAGGAAGCTACTTGACAAATGAAAAATTTGACTTCTCTTGTGGAGTGTTGAAAACCACTCTTTGCACTATGGAAGGGTTAAAGAAATTCATGTCACTAATTAGTAAAATGCTGTTTGTGATGTAAGTTTAAATTGAGGTAAGGCTGTTGAGTTGCACCCATCCCCCCACCCAAGCAACTATGGCCTATAAATCTCATGCATATGCTCCTAACTTGAAGGTTTATATCAAAGATATTGTGGCTCTATCATTCAATGTTTCCTAACAGAATTAGACAATCTTTGAAAGGATATAAAAAAAAAAAAATCTTTTACAGGATGTAAAAGACAATTCTATTTTTTTTTTTTTTTTTTTTTCACATTAGTTTCACAAATACAATAACTACAAAAAATAAAATGACTTTAACAATTGAGTAAGACTTTACATAGTATAAATTCAACTGGATTTGATATAGTTTTCCTGACTCCGGTGACCCTTATTTGCTTCTGACTCCCCGGCCCTGCATTGAAGGCTACTTTTTCTAATCTTTGCTGTTTATTGTAGAATGTAAAAGCTGCTTGAATATTGCAAAAAGGAAGATAATTGCTAGAACTTGCATACCAAGGATTTTGCTACCCTCCATATCAACCCATTTGAGTTGATGTTTGCAAATGCCTCAAGCTATTTTAAAACTTTTTTTTTTTTTTTTTTCCATGTATGTTGATTGAGGTAAGAAAGATTTTGGAAATAGGTTTGGCTGAGAACTGCTTTTTGTAAATGTACAATGTTTCTATGCTCTTAAATATTTCAATTTGATACATCTTGTAATATAAAAACATTCTTTACTTCTACTTGATCTTAGATGATTAACATTTGTGTTCTAGTTTTCAATGCAGACCATTTATAAATTCATTCTTTATAGTAAATTTTTAAAGTACTTGTTCATCTGAAGACTATACCACATTTCCACTGCTAGGGAAATGTTTTTGTTGGGAGTGTACACATTGGATTTTCTTTATAAACTAAAGATGGGATACTTTGGGGGTGAACATAATATTTATAATGGGGTTGGAGAAACAAATATATCAGGTATAAAATTAGTACAATCTTAATCCTCTTGACAGGTATTTATAGAATAATGATCTTGAACAAATCAATGCTTTACCATAAATTTCCCAAGAAAGTCAGTTTCCATTTGACTTAAGCCAAATGGAAACTGTTCTGGAATTGCAATGAAGTAGTGATAGCACATAATGCTGAATCCATCAGATTCATAAACACTTCATATGGATCAGTTATAACATTCAGTAAGGCTTGTACTAAGGGTAGATTTGTCTAACACCACAAGCTGTTACAAAACCAAAATATTAACCCAAGGACTTGTCATGCTCTTAAATAACTTCATCAGATGTAGACTCATGGTGTCAGTCTCATTCAGAAATGTCCAAACTATTTGCTCTGTGCAACATTTTTTTTTCAGGTCTATGATTAAAAATGGCTCAAATTGGATGAATCTTCCAGGTTTTAAAGACAATACTTCATCAGATCACATAAACTTGTGCTACAGAATTACAAAGAACTTGACTAAACATCACTTGAATAGTTCCAGAATCAGCAACAACTAAAATGGATAACACATGTAACTAGAAGGGGGTGGAAATATAATGAAAATGTTTACTTTCTACATGCCAGAGCACGAACAATGAACTTGAGTAACGTTAACTGTTCAATGTTTCTTGTATGGTAATGAATCTCTTATATAACCTACTAATAGAAATTAAAATATCTTGTTACTAATGAATAATGACAAGCTTTTTGGAATTAGATATTAATTCACAATTTAATAAACCTGAATATAACATTTGGAATAAGAAATGGTGGTGGATTGAAAATAAAATCTGTTAATTCATTAGAACACCATTTTCTGACAAGATTTCTCAAATATTCAAACTGGTAGATACAGTTGCATAAACAATACTGTTTAATTAAAAGAACAGAGTTTATACTTGAATATGATTATCCATCAAAAATAACAATAACTATATATTATACCAAAATAGTGCACAATTGTGTTTGAGAGAGACAATTAGAATCTTTTATGAAATCTAAGAAACCTTTTAGGAGCATTGTTGACCAGCTAAGAAGACCTGTTTTCATCACTGAAGAACCCTTGGGGAAAAGTCTTTGTAACATTGGACAAAGTATTGTCAATTTTAGATTTTTATTATTTTTTTTAAGTGTAATTAAATTATGAACCCTGTTTAGACAATGTTTTACCAAAATATATGGTTGTTTTCTATAACTTAAATTCATAAAATTGAATGAGTTTACTTTCTGTTCTGTAATGCAATGCATCATCTCTCAATGTGGTAAATTTAAACCTCCCAGAATCATATTTTCATGTTAGTGATTCTTCTCAAATCTTCAAAGCATCTTTAAGAACAACATCAACCTGAAACTTGGGAAGCATTTTCCTCTTGAAAGACAAAATGTGACCATAAACTATCAAGTAATAAGTGAACCTTTAGAAACTTGAATTTTTTTTTTCCATGGAAGTATGTGTCTGAAAGCTGCCACAATTTTATCTTTTTTCTTTAAGAATGCAGGAAACTATTGCACACACGTATGTTAACCATCTGATGACCATTGCACTGGACATGTAATGACTGATACAATCAATCCTCTCTAATTAACAGTGAACATTGACAACATATGCACAATTTAAAGAGGGCCAGTTGCAATTTATATTCAGCTGACACAAATATGCTATCTGAGGCACATGGTAAAGTCATTATTTTTGGGACCATGATAGTTCACAAGTATATGTTTACATACAAATTTAGATAATTTATTCATGCATTGGGTTCTTTTTGGAATATCACTGACATTACAAATGTGATGCATTCATTTCAGAACCTCACTTTCCAGCATTGACAAGAGTTCAAAATCATTAATACTGCCTTGTAGGGGATGACTTAGTTTCCACTCTACAGCCTCTTGCCCACAATATCACAAGCCTATCACTAGT